GGAGGGTGCTGGGGACGGGGAGCACACTATTTAACCCAGTACAGGAAGCATTGTTGTTCATTTCTTCTGCTGTTAGAAGTAAATGTACTTGGGATCACATACCTTTTAGTTAAACTACTTGAAGAACTGCAAAGATTTCCCCCTTCCTTTAAATTAGAAGATCAGTCAAGAAACTTTTTTCTTAAACCTTCGGCTGTAGGGACACATTTTATTTGCCCGTTATTTCAGGAAGGAGCTGCCCTTCTCTTGGGCTTTTCTAGCTCTGTCTCAGACTGGCTCCTGTCTGCTGAGGCATTCTAGAGGGTCCTACCATGAAAGGATATATCTCTCTGAATTCCATTTGCATCTCAGTCCAGAAGAGTTTTTATAAATGGTCAGTTAGGACTCTCAGTGATTTATAGATTCTTCTCGGAGTAGAATTTCCTTTTAATGGATTGCTGGGAAATAATCAGGAGCACTTTTAAGCACCTAATGTGTGCAGAGTTCTTTACCATAATCCTGGGGTTGGAGAAAAAGAAATGGAAGACATTTTACTCTAGAAATCTTTTCAATATAAACTGAAGGGAACACACACACAAAACTAAAAATATTTCTAAGGAGAGGCCCAAAAACACTGGTTAATGAAATGCCATGAGGGAGGCAGGAACTAAAGGCTTTAGTGATTAAAAGGAAAGAAACCACTTCCAGCTGGAGGCTGGAACAGGGTTAAATTTCACAGGGGAGGGAGTGGCTCCATGTGTAGTGGTTAGCTTGTCTGCTTTACACACAGAAGGTCCTGAGTTTGCACCCCAGATGGAGCCACGAACTATGCTCTGGTGCGCCGGGGCCCGGTGCATGCCCCAACGAGCGCATGGGGGAAGACACCCTGCCTTCAGAGATCCAGCTCTTAAAAAAAAGAGATAGCAACATCCATAGGTCAGGGGTGGAAGTAGTGGGGGGAATTAAAGAGGAGAAAAAAATAAAAATAAATAAAAATAAATTTCACAGGGGAGGCTACCTTTGAGCTGAGACTTGAAGGATGAATAGAATTTTGATAGTTGGAAGGGAGGCTCTTTGGGCATAGGGAGTAGGGTGAGCAGAGAAGGAAATGTCTGGGGACATAAATGTTCAGGAGACATTAGTTCAGATTAACAAGCACAGAGAAGATGTGATGGGGATGAGACTGTAAAGGTAGAGTGGAGTGAGGTTGTGGAAAATAAATGCCAGGCCAGAGAGTTTGGATTTTATTTAGCAGAGATATTGAGGTATATTAGCTTTTCTTAACAGAAGGATAGTAGCTGAGTGATGTATCTCAAGAAAGAGAATCTGATTTGCTTAGGGAGCTGAGAAGTGCTTAGGATCCGACTTTAGGACGTTAACAATGAGAACAGGAAGGCAGGGACAAAATCAAGAAATATGTTGTAGGTAGAAGCAATAGTATGTTTACTGAGTGGATGTGGAGCAAAGAAGGAAGTCCCCGATCATTGTTGCCCCTTTCTTTTCTCATTCTGAAAAACATTAAAGCTACAGGAGAGTTTCAAGAATATTATACCAAATACTCATACACCAGAAGGAAGAGCAGCTTTGGAACTGGTAGGAGAGCCACATGGAGATGCTGTTTACAAATATTCCCCATCTCAGTAGATGGGAACACCACCCCTCCAGCTACTCAACCCAGAGAGCAACCTTTCTCTCTTACCTGTATCCATCAGTCAGTAATCCTGTTGTTGCAACTTTCAACATTTTTCCCTAGAACCCAAGTACTTCCTACTAACTCCTCTGCCATGGTATTGGTCCAAATTGCCATCACCTCTCACCTGGATTATTGCAGTAGCCGCCTGGCCGGTTGTCCCGCCTCTACTGTTGCCTTTCTACAGCTTTTGCCCAACATAGCAGCTAGCCTGAACCTGTTGAAACATCATCTCTTGTCTTCTTCTTGTCGGAACACTCCAGTGGCTTCCAGTCTTTCTTAGTGAATGGCAAACCTCGTATAGTCTATAGGGTCCTATGCTCTCTGATCCTCTTTTTATATCTCTGATCTCATTTCTTACTATGCTCTCCTTTGCTCATTCTGCTCCAGTCACACTTGCCTCCTTGAATGCTTGCTGTTTCTTCAGTGTATAATGTTCCTTCTAAGATACCCTTATCTACGTCAAATTTGCTTAAACGTAATTTTCTTAGTCCTTTTTGGGCCATGGGATTTAAAATTGCAATCCTTCTGCCCACGCACTCCCCTTGGCACTCTAATCCTTGTTCCTTACTTTTTTCGTCTACAGCACTTTTATCTCCTTCTAATAATATAGAATTGACATAGTTTATTATTCATCTCCCTTTCTAAAATGAAAAAGAGGGCAGGAGATTTTTCTCTCTTTTGCCCCCCGATGTATCTCAGAGCCTGGAACTGTGCCTAGAATGTTGCTGGTGCTCAGTAAAATATATTGAATGAATGTGAATGAGTGAAGTATCATATGACTTGTAAATGTGAGAAATATTTCAGGAGCTAAGGAGAAGGATCACCTTCAGCTTCATGGACAAGGTAATATTGAATGAGGCCTGAAAGCAGTGGGAGTTACATTATTGAATATGTCCATCAGGCTGTCAAATTTCTGGCAATGGGCCAGAGAAAAGGCACATCTTCTAACAGGGATCCCCAAACTTCGGGCTGTGGACTGTGACCTGTTAGGAACTGGGCACATCTTCTAACAGGGATCCCCAAATTTCGGGCTTCGGTCTGTGACCTGTTAGGAACTGGGCTGCTCAGCAGGAGGTGAGCAGCGGGCAAGTGAGCAAAGCTTCATCTGCATTTGCAGCCACTCCCCAGCACTAGCATCACCACCTCAGCTCTACCTCAGATCATCAGGCATTAGGTTCTCATAAGAGCACTGGTCCCTGGTGCCATAAAGGTCGGGGACCACTGCTCTAGAATGTCTAAGTCTGCACATGTTGTGGTAGAGAATGAACAGAGTGGTTCAACAGAAGTAGAAGAGGCTTTGTGTAGGGGAGAAGATCAGAATGAGACTGGAAGCACAGGTAGGGGCCTGTCAGGAAAACAGAAAAAAATCTTCATTTTAAATTTGCCTAGGCCAAGTACAGAAGGCAATTATTATGAAGTA